GGTTCCGAAATCTCCCTTGGATATCAGGAGTTTCTTGGGATTGGCTGGGTACTACTGGAGATTCATACATGATTTCTCCAAGATTGCAGTACCCCTCACTCGTCTGATGAGGAACGGGTGGATTTCTGGTGGGGCCCTGAGCAACAGAGGGCATTTGAGACACTCCGACAGCGACTTTGTGAGGCTCCAGTTTTGACTCTCCCAGAAGGAGTTGAGGATTTTGTGGTGTTCCGTGATGCATCTATCATGGGACTGGGAGTGGTCCTCATGCAGAGAGGACGGGTGATAGCCTATGCATCTCGGCAGCTGAAGCCGCACAAGACGAGATACCCTACTCATGATCTGGAGTTTGGAGCAGTGGTATTCGGTCTCAAGATTTAGAGACATTACCTCTATGGGGTCCGTTGTACCATATACACAGACCACAAGAGCATAAGATACATCATGGATCAGCTGAACCTGAACATGAGACAACGCAGGTGGCTGGATGTAGTCAAGGTCTACGACTGTGAGATCCTTTACCACCCTGGTAAAGCGAACGTGGTTGCGGACGCTCTAAGCCGCAAGTCACCTGGATCTTCTACCCTAGTGACATGTATGAGGATATCAGTGGATTACTCACTTGTGAGCTTGATCAGGGAAACTCGGGCAGAGGGTATGCATCAAGAGAACTGGAAGCTTGAGACGATTAGGGGTGAGAACACCCGGTTTGTGCAGGATAGCCAAGGATTATTGACCCGTTGCGGTCGAGTTTGGGTTTCGATGTCTGGTGGGGTCAGACAAATTGTTCTGGAGGAGGCTCATAAGTCTCTCTTCTCTATTCACCCGGGGGCCACCAAGATGTACCGGGACTTGCGATTGAGCTACTGGTGGCTGTGCATGAAGCGATAAATTGATTGGTACGTGGAGAGGTGCCCGACCTGCAGGATGGTCAAGGCCGAGCACTAGAGGCCGCATGGAAAGCTGCAGCCTCTCGAGGTTCCCATGTGGAAATGGGAGCAGATCACGATGGATTTTATCACCAAATTGTCGAAGACGGCTAAGGGCTTCGACACTATTTGGGTCATCGTGGATCGACTGACCAAGAGCGCTCACTTTCTAGCGATACGGGAGAGTTCATCGGCCGAGAAGTTGGCCGAGGTATATATCTGCGAGATCGTTGCTCACCATGGGGTGCCGGTCTCTATCGTTTGAGACCGTGATGTTCGGTTCACCTATCGTTTCTGGCAGAAGTTCCACGAGGAACTGGGCACGCGACTGCATTTCAGTATAACCTACCATCTGCAGACTGACGGCCAGATTGAGCGAACCATACATACTCTTGAGGATATGCTAAGAGCCTGCGTTATCGACTTCGGTGGGAGTTGGTACTCCTACCTACCGCTTGCAGAGTTCTCCTCAACAACAGCTTTCATTACAGCATTGGGGGCTCCGCCTTATGAGTTGTTATATGGACGAAGATGTCGCACCCAGTCTGTTGGGGCGAGGTCAGTCACAGGGTGATGGGTCGGACCGAGGTAGTTCTACAGACTACCGAGAGGATTCAGCAGATCAGACAGCAGTTGCAGACCACACAGAGTCGGCAGAAGAGTTACACTGACAGAAGCCGATCTGAGTTGGAGTTTTTAGGTCGGTGACATGGTACTCCTGAAGGTATCTCCCTGGAAGGGTGTGATCCGCTTCAGGAAGAGGGGGAAATTGGGTCCCTGATACATCGGGCCGTTCAGGATCATTGCCAGGGTTGGCAAGGTGGCGTATAGACTAGAGCTACCAGAGGAGCTTAGTAAGATCCACAACACTTTCCATGTGTCACAGTTACGAAAGTGCGTATTAGATGAGGAGGCAGTGGTGTCATTGGATGACATACATGTCGACGACCGCCTGAATTATGTAGAGAGGCCAGTGGCCGTTCTGGAGAGGAAAGTGAAGGTTCTATGGAACAAGGAAGTGCCTTTGGTAAAGGTACAATGGGAGCACCGGAGGGGATCTGAGTGGACTTGGGAGCCGGGGGCTGAGATGCGGGAGCATTACCCGAAGTTGTTCACCGCAGCTGACTTTGAGGACGAAGTCTAGTTCAAGTGGGGGAGAATTGTAACATCCCGACTCTCAGGTATAAACTTTACAACATATATTCATTTTGAAAGGTCTACTCGACGAGTTGGATGCCCTGACTCGTCGAGTAGGAACGAACTTGGCCGTGTGTCTTAAGTGACCAACTCGACGAGTTGGAGCTGGAGAATAAAACCCTAATTTCCAGGGTTTTGCAACCTATTTAAAGGGTCATTAGCCTCCCTTAGCCTCCCTTACAGCCCCCTTGAGCTCAGAAACCCTAAATCGTATTTACTCTCCATATTTGTGTGTTATTAAGCTTGGAAGGTGGATTTTGGTGAGAAGAGCTTGAAGTCCAAGGAGCTTGGAGCAAGGAGAAGTTGTGGATCCGAATTCTACTCCATCTTAGCATCACTTTGAAGGTAACAAGTCATTACCTTGGATCTCCCTTAGCTAGATCTCTTCATACATGGGTTTAGAACCCTTTCTAGTGTATTGTTGTGGTATTTCCGGATTTAGGGCAAGATATGAGGTTGTAACTTCAGATCTGGACTCCTTTAGCCCCTTATTGTCACAAAGTTCTAGTCTTTGTCAAGCTATGGCCTTCTCCTTGCCTTAAACTTCTTCTTTAGCCTAGTTTTGGCTCTTAAGACCTTGCATGCACGTAAAGTTTGCAACTTTACGTGGTAACTAGGCCCTAGGAGGCTAGATCTACCAATTGGAGCTTTGGAGTAGCTTAATATCATCTGGACAAGAAATGGACTGCATGAACTCGACGAGTCGGATAAGCTAAATCGACGAGTTGGGAAGGGTTTTCCCGTTGTTTAGTTTCTGCATGGACTCGACGAGTCAGTAAGAGGACTCGACGAGTCAGTTAGGGTTTTCTCGACTTTTGGACACGCATGGACTCAACGAGTTGTCTGGAAACTCGACGAGTCAACTGGGGGTTTCACGACTTCTCGAGTTCTGGAAGGACTCGATGAGTCAGTGAGCTTCACTCGACAAGTTGGGTCAACATGGACTGTTGACTTTGACCTTGACCAAGGATTGACCATTTTGACTTCTAGGGGTATTTTAGTAAATTGGGAATTTATGGAAGTGGTCCTATGGTGGATATAGGTGGTAGAGTTCGTGGCTGTGATTCGAGAGTTTGATCTTATCACTACAGATTCAACAGGTGTGAGGTGAGTTTTCCTCACTATACTCAAGGGTCTAAGGCACCAAGGCCAACCCTTTTGGATTGTTATCCGGATATGTTATGCTAGTATGATCCATTAGATCAGTATCCTGGTAGATAGAATGGTATTATGCTGTTATGATCTGTTAGACCAGTATCCTGGTAGATAGAATGTTATTATGCTGTCATGATCTGTTAGATCGGTTTGTTTGTCTATAGACTGTTATGTGATTATATGATATATGTGCACATGTTTGATTGATGGTTGAGGCTTATCTGCTTTGTGCGAGAGCCAATAGACCTGAGCTTTCCAACCCGATGGTTGTGGGCCGTGAGTATTCCATCTCGAGGATGATTGGACTCGTAGTATATGGGCATTCCAACCCGATGGTTGTGGGCCTGGGGTATTCCATCCTGAGGATGACTGGACCCATAGTATGTTGGCATTCCAACCTGATGGTTGAGGGCCTGGGGTATTCCAAACTGATGGTTGACTGGACCCATAGTATGCTGTTTGTGATTAAATGTGTATTGTTGTGCGTATGAGTATTTTGGGGGAACTCACTAAGCTTCGGGCTTACAGTTTCAGTTTTGGTTTCAGGTACATCAGATGATCGCGGGAAGGCGAAGGCGTGATCGTACAACTCCTCACATTTTATGATTTTGAATTTTGGAGACTCTGATGTGAAAATATTTTGAAAACACTTTGTAATAATTAATGGTTTTTAATTGGTTGAAAAGTTTTATTTTGGCTTAAATTTTATGGATGTTACAGTTACGTTCTTGTATATTTCTTATAACTTTCCATGTATCACAAATCTGATACACATATCACATGTCCTATACACATATCTATGTGTCATGTTTATTAAACATACACGTCGCGTTCTCTCGTTAACTTATGTTGACCTTTTCTTTAACCAAAACGAGTCGTGTTCTTCTTACGAATGTGTCATGTTCCAAAATTACTCCAAAGGTAACAGAATTTGGAGCGCATCATGTGTGTTCCTTCTACAGGTTGTGTGCAACTAAAGTAAGATATCTTTCTTAAAATAACAACTTACTTTAAAGTCTACACCATCGTGTATAACATAACTTCATATCTCGTAGCATATGTTGATAATAACATTCTCATCCGTCTCATCTACTCCTATTTTCAATTCTATCATACTTGCACCTATATTGTTCATTTCCTTTTTTACTTCTTATTCTTACACAAAAGAAGTAACAAATTATTAGGTCGCTACAGTTCTCTCCCCCTTAAGAAGATTTTCGTCCTTGGAATCTCTTTATAATTTCAGTGATCTTATCACAAGTCCATGATCTTCTCCATGGCTAATTTTAACATATCTTGTTTTGCACAGTATAACAACATACTTTGTCATTTCCTATGCAAAACATTCCGTATTAATTTATTGGTAATGGGTATTATATCATATCTCCCATCCTATTATAACCCATCTGGCATGCTTATATTACTGATCACATTTTGTCTTGCTTTTAAGCAACTACCAATACATGCTCGTTCTTTCTTTCACTATTCTTTCCACAATAGTGGTTATCAAAATACACTATTCATAGTAGAAAAAAACTGACGGAGTTAGCCAATATGACCAACCATTAAAAGTTTTAAAATCATAGGGACCGTCTTTGATTACCTAAAAAGTTTAGGACTAATTCAATTTTTTTAAAAACTATGTGGACCATTTATGATGTTTTTCCTAATTTTATCCTTTACAACTTCAAATATAACAAAATAAAAACCAAAACAAAATACAGGGCTCCGAATCCGTTAAATCCAAGGGTTTTAGGTATTTGAGAACAAATTGATGGCTCGATCTTGATCAAGCTCTTTCTTTTTTACGAATCTGATTGATGATTCAATCATCGTTATAGTCAATCATAAAGAGCTCGCTCGATCGGAATGTTAATAGTTTGGGTTCATGCGAAGCTAAAAAGAGAAAAGAAGAAAGGTCTACGATCTGTTCTGGTATGGAGAACACCGTAGACGGTGTTCATTTCTTCCGGCAAGGAGGCTTAACAATAGAATTCCAAATGATGATTTTGTTAACGTCGACATATCCAAGGAGGAAGAAGAATCCTTGTGTTAAAAGTGAAAAATATAAGTAAAAAAAGGCGATTCAAACAAGTAAGATTTTGGATCTGAAAATCTGAAATTTTCGATGAAGATTGACTTGAAAAATCTCCAACTAACATCAGTGAACTCCTTAGAGTGGTTTTCTTGAGGGGTTCATGGTAAAAAGGTAGATTGCTTTTTTCATAATCATTACTTGCCTCTCATGATTTTTATAGTTACCAAAACAAGAAGCTGTGTTTCTGTAAAGTAGGTTTTTAGAGAGTAATCTTTCAATGAGATTACATGTCAATTGTCATCCCAGAAGTAAATGGTTTCATGGATTTGATTTCATTAATCATTGTATACATCTTAACAACATAGGAAAACTCAAACTATCCAAAATTTGATAGTGTATGTACTATGTAGGAAAAATATTTTGGTGTTCTTATGGAAACTAGTTCCCAAAAATACTACGTTATGCTCTTCAATGTAACAGACTAATAGTTAATGGACAAGTTAGGTGCATGTTAGTTGAAAGGTATTTATGAATCTACTCTAAGAACTTTAAATGCTGACTGATTCTTGTCAAATTTCTAATGTGAACTCTTTTGAGGTTAATGAACTAAATGCCTATATCTCAAACCCAAAGATAGAATGATATATGTGGATCTAAATGAACTTTTGTTGCCATTTATGCAACTTTATATGTTCTTTGCTAATGAACACTTTATCATGTAAAACTTTGGCCTTAAGTATGAAGTATATTTTCTATATGGAGACTGAATGTGCTTGATTAGTCTCTAATATTTGATCTTTCAGTTCTTAAATAAACCATATAACCTGTAAATATTAATGTAATCATCTTGACTTGATCATTGCTGTAAATTTTACAGTTCGTTTTATTGGTTGAGGGTATTATAAATACAATGCAAGTGAGGACCTTGTGAATGCAAAGTGAGAAAGGACTGTTGGCCGTGCAATTGTGTCAATGAGGTACTATTTTTCAAGTCTTTTAGTATTATTTGGGTTCTTTGAGAAAAGTCAGAATGATTATTAGTCATGTGTGACACACACACTCTCTCTCTCTCTCTCTCATACACACACACACAAACATGACTAGTTGCTGCAATTAAAGTATTAATTTAACCTTTTCTATATCATTATTTTTGTCGCTCTTTCATCATAATGGAAATTGGAAGGTCTAATTTCCAAAGATTCTTTCCATTAGTTTCAAGATGCTACCACTTAAGATTGTTCATCATTACTGCCTGATGAATAATCTTTATTATTAAGTTTTTAATGTTAATTGTAATAGCTGTGAGGATGAACATGGAGTTGTACTTCTGGTTGGTGTAATTTCAGAAGCAAACCTTGATGGCTTGAATCAATTGCCTAAAAGAGATTATAAGTTTAAGAGCATTTTTGACATATGTACGCTTTACTATAATCGTGTAGCAGTTTAATAAAAGAACATATACCACTAACTTTTTTTGTATCTTCCCTTTTAACTTGTGTAGTGGATATCTGCAGGGCTTTTTGGGGAATTCGGATCTTTGGAATCTCCAAGGCTAAATGGAGGATTTTGAACTTTGAACTCATGGCATTTTGGAGAAGTTGGAACTTTGAACTCAACAAGGCGTTTTGGAGAATTTGGAACTTTGAAACCTGCAGGGCTTTCGGGGGGATTTGGAACTTTGAACTTTGCAGGGTGTTTTGGGAATTTGGAACATTAAAATCCACAGGGGTTATTAGGGATAAAGAACTTTGAAATCTATAGGGCTTATTGAGGAATTCGGGACTGACTTTGGCCATTAATATTATTTATCTAAAGTGTTTATGATAAAGTGTAGCAGCAGAGGACCACTTTCCATGCCTTAAAGAAAGTTTTGTCCATTCGTGAGCTTTTTCTGTCATTTATGCCACTTTATATGAACACTTCATTAAGCAAAAGTTTGACCCTAAATATGAAGTATACTTCAATATGGAGACCGAAGGTGCTAGGTTAATCTCTGATATTTTATCTTTTACTTCATAAATAAATCATATAACCTGTAAATACTAATGTAATCCTCTTGACTTGATCATTGCTGTAAATTTTGCAGTTTGTTCTGTTGGTTGAGGGTATTACGGTACAATGCAATGAGGACCTTGTGAATGCAAAGTGAAAGGACTACTGGCCTTGCAATTGTGTCAATGAGGTTATATTTCTCATGTCTTTTAGTATTATTTGGGTGCCTTGATATTATATTTTGGTGCATACTTTTATGTGTTTAAATATAAAGTTTGGTGATTTATGTTGTGTATGGTAACATGTTGTACAATATGTGCTATGTATGTTTTTATAAGCTCTAAATATCAGTCTTACCACCTCTTTGTTTTAGTTAGAATGAAAATTTGAAGCTATGTATATCAGTCTATAAGCTCTCTCTCTCTCTCTCTCTCACACACACACATGACTAGTTGCTACGCTTAGGGTATTACTATTAATTGAACATCTTCTATATCTTCATTTGTGTCACTCTACATCATAATGGAAGTTAGAAGGTCTAATTTCTAAAGATTCTTTCCATTAGTTTCTACTTTCTAGATCCTACTACTTAAGATTGCTCATCATGACTTCTTCACATGTCTATTGCACTCTCATAAATAATCTTTTATTAAGTTTTTAATGTTAATTGTAATAACATATGTCTCACCACTTCTACCCTATTTTGGAATCAAATGAGTTATAAATATGGGGTGTTATTTGGCATTTTTGCTAAACATATATACTTATTTAGCATAAGTTTTGTGCTTTAAATGTATAGAGAATTAGCAATTTCTTGTTTTGAAACATTGTTATTTCTAAAATTTGTACATCTAGAATAAGAATACATATTTTTTTTTTCATTTTGTATTTTAATTATTGATATTTAGAATTGAAAACTTACTAATTAGTTACATTTTGTTAATGATCTACAAAATATTCAAAACTCAAAGCTTGATTTAGTGATCTTATTTTTACATCATGCCTATTGAAAACTTGGGTATCAACTGGGGTAGGGACATTGTGATATACCTCCTCCATGTGGGACCTGTTCGTCGGGACGTGGACGAATGTCGTGTACCCTTTAAACAAGTTTACATTTCAAATTTCAATAATATATTTTTAACTAAAATGTGGTTGGGTTTTCAAATCCTTTTATAGACAAAACTTCATTATATATATTGAGTCATTAATAGCCATTTTCACAAAGTTGACTTTGAGTCTACCTCTCTGTCTAGGGTTTCTTTGTGTATTTAATCCACCCCCTTTTCATCTCCTCTAGCCGCTTCTCACTTCTTTGGATCATCTTTCCTCCTGCTCCATCATCTGCATCCGAGGTCTGTCTGTCGATCCCTTGTAGTCTCGATCCTAATTTTGTATCAATCATTTATTGGGAGTGTGTGTGTGTGTCCGTGTGTATGTTACATTTTTAGATTTTCTAGGATTTTTCTGATTCTAGATAAACCAATAGTTTTGAATTTGGTTATTTACTTAAGGATTTTGCATCAATGTGGCTCGATCTAGTGATTGTAGCTTTATCCACCATGCTTCGGTGTATCTTTTAAATTTTTCTACTCAAAGTAAATCGATGGATTTTGTTGCTAATTTAGTACATGCTTTTGTTAATGTATATTATTTTCTGTAAAGATCTAATGTAATTGTGGGTTTTTAATGAAAACGGTGTAGAATCGATGCGATTTCTCATACCAAGTTTAATGTTGATATTTATAAACATTTGAGGTCATTTTTTTTAGAATTTAAGTATTTTTTCTTAGGGATCTTTCATCCTTGGTAAATATCTCTCTCGATCTGGTTGATGGATTTTGTTGCAAGTATTTTTCATTGAGAAAAGAGTCATGAAAAGACAGAAGAAAATTGTATTTATTTAAGCCAACTAGTCCCTTGTTCCATTCTTTATTTATACAAGAGATTATCAAGTTTATAACTTTTTTGACACCTCTTTTTATGTGATTACGCAGTTCAATAGCACTAAAATTCTCTGAAGCAATATGGAAAGGGATTTATCTCAAGAGCAGAATCAAAGGTAGGTTGTGACAAAGTGAATTATTATTTTTTTTAAAAATTTTGAGGTAGATAATATTCATCTTTATTAATGATAATTTTATGGCATGAATGTGTAGGTCACCAAAGTCAGTTTTGAATTCCTCAAAAAACCTTATAGATTTCAAAGTTCTTTATCCTCTAATAATTCCTCTTAAACTTATAATCTCTTTTTGGCAATTGATTCAGGTTATTAAGGTCTTCTTCTGGGGTTACAACAACCACAAGTGCAGCTCAGTGTTCATCTTCATCCTCACAGATCAAGAAAAACACGAAGCTAACATCCAAGTTATTATTTAATTCTCAAATCATTTACCTCTTAAATCGCACTATAAACAAATACGTAAAAGCTAACTTTTTTTTGGTCTTTCAATCCTTTCATTTATCAAGGGATCAACAAATGAACAGATTGGTATTTCAAGAAGGCGGATTACCTAATGGAACTGAAGTAGTTTACAAGTCTCATGGAAGGGTATTGAAATTTTTATAACAAATAACAAATAATGAAAATCTTAAATCACTTTATTATATTCCAATCATCTAACATCTTCTTATTTACACTTATTTACAGGAACTTTTAAAAGGTTACAAGTGGGCCCGTGGAATATTCTGTTTTTGCTGCAGTACTGTGGTACTACTTTCTTCTTGATCCCTTAAACTTATACAATATATTTAATAAAATAACATTTTCCTTCTAATCCTTTTAATCTGTGATTATCAGGTTAGCCCCTCACAGTTTGAAGCTCATGCTGGCCAGGCCTCCCGCAAAAAACCGTGAGTTATTTATTTATTTATTTAAAGTCTGTATAATCTATTTATATTGATTTTCTTTTTTAATTATATCCAGATATGGAAACATCTTTATTGCAAATGATGTGTCACTCCATGATTATGCATCTTCTTTAAAGCTAACTGTTGGACACCTGTCAAAGAAGAATGATGAACTTTGTGGAGTTTGTAAGAAAGATGGAGACTTAGTGCTCTGTGATGGATGCCCAAGGTCATTCCATAAAGGTAAAAAGATCAATATTTTTGTTTATTATAAAATTTATAATTTATAATGAATCTGATTTTATTCTTTTTTATGACACAGAATGTGTATCTGACACAAGCCCCCCCAAAGAAAAATGGTTCTGCAAATATTGCAGAAACTCTATGAATTTGCAACATTCAGGATCTGATCAAATTGAGAAAATTGCAAAACGTTGCATTCAGATTGATAATTGTGACCTTGTTGCATGTTGTATTTGCAGGTAACCCTAATTTTATAAAATTTGCAACAATTTTTTATACACTAGAAAACTTTGCTAAATCTATTATATCAATTTCAAATCATGTAATCATGTTTGAATAACTTTGGTGTATACAGAGCATATGATTTCACCACAGATGGCTTCGATGATCGGACTGTTATTGTTTGTGATCAGGTAAATTATAATTGGAGTAAATTACATTTTTGGTCCCTGAGTTTATCTGGTTGTTTCAGTTTTGGTTAAAGGTTAAAATGGTCATTTTAGAAAAAATCCGTTATGCTTTGTTTTCTTTTATAATTGTTAGATTTATCCAGTAATCCATTTTCCATTCCTTGCAGTGTGAAAGAGAATACCACGTAGAGTGTTTGAGGGAACACAAGAAGATGTATCTGAAGGTGTGTGAATTTGAATTTGAATTTGAATTTAGTTAATTACTTAAATTTTTTACTTTTTTCACTGGATTTAATATGATGTGTTACAGGAGTTGCCATCTGGCAATTGGTTCTGCAGTGCGGACTGTGGAATACTTAATTGGGTTCTTGAGAGATTGGTGGCATGTGGGCCCGTGAAGGTCCCTCATTCTCTTACGGGTTTAATCAGGGAGACTTCAATGGTCGGTGATGCAAACGGAATCGGAATCGGAATCACCAATTCCGAGATGAAGTTGATTGTTTTGCGTGGGAAAGGAGTTTCTGATGAGAACAGAGTGTTGCTTTCTCAAGCCGTTGATATCTTCCATGTGAGTATAATCTATAAACTATAAACTGCTACTTAATACAGATTAATTAATTAATTAATAACAATTTATTTTATTTCTAACAGAAATGCTTCAATCCTATTGTTGATTCCATTACTGGAAGTGATTTTATTCCATCAATGGTGTATGGGTAAGCAACTATAAAACAAATTAGTTAAAATTTCATTTTTATTTTTAGCATCTAATTTTTTTTTTCTTTTTCTTTTTCTCCAACCAATAGGCAGACAATGGGGGATTCCGACTTCACAGGAGTTCATTGTGCAATGCTCACAATAGAGTAAGCTCACACTTGTCATTTTCTATTTATTTTTATATGCTATACAAAGTTATCATTATTATTAATATTATAAATTGTGCAGATCAAAGGTTATTACAGCCGGAATGTTTCGTGTATTTGGAGCAGATGTTGCAGAACTTCCAATAGTTGCTACCAATGAAACCAACCAAGGAAAGGTAAACATGCTTTTTTACACATTTTCAACATCAATTGTCTATTTTATTTATTTATATATAAAAAAATTGTATGAATACATTGATTGAATTCAGGGCTACTTCCAACTTTTCTTCGACTGCTTTGAGAAGCTACTTGCATATCTCACGGTTAAGAAGATGGTTGTTCCAGCTGCTGAGGATGTTGAATCCATGTGGATTCAGAAATTTGGTTTTCAAAAAGTTAACCCAACTCAGGTATTATTATTATTATTATTATTATTATTATTATTAAGTGGTTTCTTAATTCTTATTATAATGTTACAGTTATCTTATATTATATATTATATATGTGTACAGCGGAGGGAATATAGACAAACATTAACATCAATGGTGGCGTTTCAAGGAACATCTTTGTTAGAAAAGGATGTGGTGGGGCCTCATGCTGGACTTACCTTTCAAGATGGTTTCCGTTTCAGTCTTTCTACGCATAAGTAAATTAAGCAATGAATGAATGATTGAATAATAATACCGTTTTGGTGGATTTGTTAATGAATGAATGATTGAATAATAATACCGTTTTGGTGGATTTGTGTTTTGTTTATGGTTAAAACTACACACATCCATCTTGGGTAAGATGGATGTTTTTACTCTTTGTGTTGTATAAGAAATTCGAAACAAGTTTGGAATTGTTATGACTTTTGACTTATGAATGTGTGTTGACATTTAGACTCGTGCTTTGTTTCTTATGTCTTGATTGGGAATGAAATATGTTGTCTTAAAAAAATCCTTTATTTCGGTTTAAGAAAAAGAGAGTCCATTACATTAAGAAATAGATATTGAATACAAGAGGTCTTTCTCGATCATTCTCCTTGCCTCTCATCCTTTGAGAATCATAAAGATCGTTTTTAAGTTTGAATATGTTCATTTGGAATCTATTATCTTCTACTTCAGATTTATTTACTTACTTTATTGATTTTTATTTAGTGGGTGTTTGGGAGTGCTTAAATTAAATTATTAGCTTATTGCAAAAAGCCAATAAGTTAAAAAAAATGTTTGGGTTGTTCGAAAGGATTTTTCAAATGACTTTTTGGCTAAAGAAAAAAAGGGAGTTTTAAAAAGTAATAAAATTTTGAGATTAAAAATCACTCTGAAACACCCGTTTAATATCAAGATTTTAGTCTCTATTTTGTTAATGTTATTCCTTAAGTCTCATCGAGTTATATTCCTCAACCAAGTGGAGTGGAGCATGTGTTACATGTTTAACAATGGTCATGGTAATTAGTTGGTGCATAGATTTGATTGTCTAATGCATGCATCACATTAAAGTTTAACAACTTTATTAGCCTAACCTTAAGATTTTGTCTATCTCTAGTTACAATTGTTAATAGTTGTTAACAACTATGATTCAAGTCAACAAAGTTAGATTGGTTCTCTAAGCTCTGTTAACTTAGGTATATGCAAAAAAAAAAAATTATATTTTTAATAACACATATTGATCTTTAACCAAACAATCATGATAAATTAAATAAATCTAATAATCCTATTAAAAGAGATCTGTAACATCCGTTGTAAGGTATTTTCTTTTCCAGTCCCTTGTGTTTGTAAGAGTTTGCAAAAGAGGTCCTTATGTTGGGCGTACAAAGCCGTACGCTGGGCGTAAGTCAACGTATTATGACGGGTCAACATTTGAGTACGTTGGGCGTACATGTGTGTATGTCTGGCGTACTCGTGCTTTCCCAAAACCCTAATCTTTTGGGTTGTGACCCCTATTTAAGCATCATAATCCCTCTTGGACCTTCTTATGACCAACCTCCACATCCTCCAAACCCTAAAATCGACCCTTAGCTTTTGTGAGTGAGATTTGAAGCTTGAAAGTAATTCTTGAGTGTTCTTAATATTGAAGGAAGATCATTCAAGAGGTGAAGGTACATCCTAACTTTTAGATCCAGAATCTTCATCTCATTGTCCACCTTTTTGAGGTATAAAGTTCAAACCTTAGAGCTTATTTTGATAGATCTTGTTTAGTCTTGGATTTGAGTTCATTTTGTCCCATAACATTGACCTTTGTGACTATGGAATACTCCACAGCTTATAAGTTGTCCTTTCAGACGTTTTAAGATGTTTAGGGTCATAAAAATGTTAGTTTGGCCCTTTCCCTTCTCCCATGCAAGAGTTATGGAGTCTTTAGTGAAGTGAAATGTTAGGGTTTTGGGTTTTAGCTCTTTGTAGCCATGCAAAGGCTTAAAGTCAAAGACTTTATGGTTTAAGATGTCTCTTTATGGCTAGATCTAAAGTTTGAATAAGAGTCTTAATGATTAAGACCTTAAATAGTTTAATGTTGGAAACTACCGCGTACGCCGAGCGTACTTCTGCCCAACGCTCTACGCCCAACGTAGAGAAGTGTACGCCGCACGTACAGCCGCCATTGACTTTCTTTGACTTTTGACCAAATGTGTCTTTTTGGCAAGTTGTGAGGGTTTTGGATCTTAGGAGGGGCAAAATGGTGTTTTCCACAAATTATGGATTAGACTTTGGCTTGGGATTAGTGAAGTATGAAAAATTACCTTAATTATTAATTAGGGTTAATTGGTGTAATTATTAGGCGGAGTCTAGTTCCGGCAGTTCGGATATGAGTTCTATCAGTCATTTGTGCAAGGTGAGTCTCCTCATTTATTCTTATCTGTGTGGTAGTATAGATTTATACATATATGATGACCTGTTGGGTCTATGTGCTATTACTGTGATATGTGTTATCTTATGTGTACTAAGACTTTGGGTAGTCTACAGGGTTGTGAGCAACATGGCGTGCTGTTTGTCCACTGAGACTTCGAGTAGTCTCCACGGTTGCTAATAAACCATAGTTGTTATATGTGATATTTCGGGGGAACTCACTAAGCTTCGTGCTTACAATTGTTGATTAAATGTGTTTCAGGTACTTATGAGGATCGTGGGAAAGCGAAGGCTTGATTGTACACATTCGCCTGCAGTATATGATGTTGAATATTTTTGGGACGCTCTAATATTTTGATGATGATTGTAAGTGACATTATGATTTTCTTGGAATGGTTTCTATGAGAAATGTTTTTATCTACATTTAAAAATGAAAAATTTGGTTTGAAAATTTAGATGTTACAAGTTGGTATCAGAGCCCTGTTTTGAGGGATTTGGATGAACACTCGTGGGATTCCAAACTCAAACTAAGAACTTTTCAAAAAGAAACAAAGAATTTCAAAGGAGAATACCAGATGAAGTAGTGTGTACAATCAGCCAGAGCTCGAGCAATAGTTTCCCAAAATATCTCTATTTATTTTGTGTGTAATGTTGAGCTACTATCTTATGAACTGATAGAACTACATGTTGAGTGATGGTCTAAGGATCTTTCGGGAAGAGTGTGTTAGGGTTGTCTGATCTGAGATGCCTTTAGCCTAGGAGATTGCTTTTACAAGATTGAACCTATCCTTGCAATTTGCTTAGTGTATGCTGCATAATTGTATGTAGTTAGGATTTTATAGCCTTAGAATGCCTGACTTAGCCTTTCTTCCTGTTCCTTTTTTGGTTGTGGACTTGAGGTAGAATCATTTATTCGACTGTCTATTGATTCCTATTGTAACATCCATAAAATTCATGTAAAATTTAAACTTTTCAAACATTCCAAAACCATCCATTGTTTACAAACTGTTTTCAAAATAATCCAATATCAGAGTTTTCCCAGAAATCACAATGTGAAAAACGAGGAGGTGCACGATCAAGCCTTCGCCTTCCCGCGATCATCTGATGTACCTGAAACAAAATCCACAACTGTAAGCCAAAAGCTTAGTGAGTTCCCCCAAAATACCCGCACAACAATAACACACATATAATAACATCATATTATGGGCCCAATCAACCATCGGGTTGGAATGCCCCAAGCCCTCAACCATCGGGTTGTAATGCCAATATACTATGGGTCCAATCATCCTCGGGATGGTATACCCTCGACCCTCAACCATTGGGCTGGAATACCAACATACTATGAGTCCAATCATCCTCGGGATAGAATACTCTCGCCCCTCAACCATCGGGTTGGAATGCCAACATACTATGAGTCCAATCATCCTCAGGATGGAATGCTCTCGACCCTCAACCATCGGGTTGGAATGCCCCGGTCTGGTGGCTTACGCACAAAGCAGTAAAGCCTCAACCACCAATCACACATATGCATATATACCAGATAATCACATAACAATCTACAGACAGTCAAACCGATCTACAAATCACTAAGCATAGCAACATCCTATCTACGAGGATACCGATCTAACAGATCATAACAACATAGAAACATCCTATCTACCAGGATACCGATCTAACTGATCATAACAGTAACAAATCAAGATAACAATCCAAATGGCCGACCTTGGTACCTTAGACCCTTGAGTATAGTGAGGAAAACTCACCTCACAAGTAGTGCTGAATCAAGAAGATCAAATCCCAACTCTCAGCTCTGATCTCGACTGCCTACAACCACCATGTGACTCACTTCATTAAAATCCCGAATTACCAAAATACCCCCAAAAGTCAAACTTGGTCAACCATGGTCAAAGTCAAAGTCAACAGTCAAGGTCAACAGTCCATGTTGACCCAACTCGTCGAGTGCATCTAGCAACTCGTCGAGTTCCTTCAATATTCAGAAAACGGGAAAACCCTAGCCAACTCGTCGAGTTGTGAGGACAACTCGTCGAGTTTTCCAGTCTTAACATATTCAGCCCCTTCCAGTCGAATCTAAAGCCCCAAACTACAGATCTGGTCCCCTATGGTTAAGATACCACGTAAAGTTGCTAACTTTACATCCATGCAAGGCATCCAAGAGCTAAAACACTCAAACAAAGCTTACTAAGGGACTTAGGACATGAAGGAGGGCCAAGACTTGATAAAGTTGGCAACTTTAAGTCTATGGAGGCCATGAGATGTCCAGATCTGAAGTCTTCGCTTCATGACATGCTCAAATCCAAGATTGACTCTAAAATAAGCTAATAATGGTAACAAACTCTCAAATAAAGAGATCTAGCAAAGGAATGGCGAAGGTGACGACTTTATACCTCCAAATGGCTGTAACAATACTGAAAATCCCGGATCCAAAGCTTCTCCCTTCAACTTTGAACCACCAACTTCAAACTCCTTCAAGAAAACTCCAAATAACACTCTTTAAGCTCGTATACACTCGAAATGGGGAAAGAGGCACGATTAAGGTTTTCTCTGGACTGAGGGGACGATGAGGGAGGCCAAAAATGAGAGTTAAGGCCTTTAAATAGGGTGCAAACCCTAAAATTAGGGTTTTCATATTCATCCCTCAACTCGTCGAGTTGGGGCCTTCCAACTCGTCAAGTAGACCCTGAAAGATGCGCAACCATTAAAACTTTACACAAAGAGTTGGAGCCCTCCAACTCGTCGAGTTTCCCTTAAATGTACGTATAAAAAGCTTAAAATTCGTACCTGGAGATTGGGATGTTACACCTATATTGTGTATGATTGGCATACCCGAAGAAAACGGCGAGGATGTCAGAGATCTTTGCGAGGCGAAGTGGTGTTGGGAAAAATAGTCTAGGATGAGTTCCTAGATGCTTAGTAGTGGTTCTGAGAAGGGAGTGTAGGGATACCCTTAATAGAGTTCTTGTGAATTTGGGTTTTAAGAGGACGACTTGAGGCAAATACAGATTGGTGTGGAAGGTAGAATTGGTCCCGTACTACTGGAAGCACCAGATCCGTACGCGACTCGAGGAGGAATCTTAGGGTGCTAAGGAACTTGCATGAGTGTGTAAGTGTTTTGTGTATGCGCTTTAGCCTATTTATGATAGTTTTTTTTTTGTGTATTTCAATATGGTGGTTACCCGAGGTTCAGGCTCCAACGATCCTGAGAGGCCGAGTGCTAGTGATGATGAGATCCGTAGGATCATTGCCGCCAAGGTGGCCGCGAAGATCAGAAAGGCCATACTAGAGATGTTCGGGTCTATTAAGAACATGCTGATCGAGACTTTTGACGAGCGCTATGCCGCCGTCACTGAGGTTGCTGTTGCGAGACCATATGGGGGTGATTCGTTATGGTACCGGGAGTTCAAAAACACACAGCCACCCGAGTTTGATGGGACCCATGACCCGATTGCCTCCACAAGATGAATTTATGAAGTTGAGGGTTGTTTCTACACTTGATCCTGTCCGGAGAATTTGAGGGTTCGTTTTGCGCTGAACTTACTTCGCTTGGGAGCGAAGGATTGGTGGAAGTTTGTGACAGTTGACTATTCTCTAGCGGAGCGTTCTACGGTAACTTGGGAGAGATTTGCTGAGATGTTCAGAGATGAGTTTGTGCCGGTGCTAGAGAGAGAAATTATGAAGTAAAATGTTGATGAACATTTGGTTTAGGAGGGTACGAATTGAGTGTGAATCGGCTTTAGAAGTAAATGAGAGTTTTTTTTTGTACGAATTGATCCCGAACTTATTTTTTGGCTTTTATAGAGGCACAATGTGAGTTTTTTTTGGTCTAAAAGGTCACTAAATCGGCTATTACAGGGTTGCCAACATGGACTAAAAGAGCAGTTCGTATCCTAGTTTAGGGACCCATAAAGCCCGACAAAAGCTTTAGGGACTCAATGGGTAAACCCTAGAAAGTTCGTAGTGCATTTGTGTCATTTCCTTTTAATTATAAAAACATGCAGTTTTTTTTTTTTTTTTTATAAATAATGTTGTTATTTACACATAACAGCTGTTAAAGTGCAATTTTTTTATTAACAATATTGTTTTTATTGTTAAAACATGCATTTTTTTTAATAAAATGTGCAGTTTTTATGCTAAATAGCATAGTTTTTATTTGTTCCAAATGTTAATAACGTTTGTAATTTTCTTTTTGTAGACACCTCATTTGCACGTGATCTAAGTAAAGTCCCGTAGTGTGCCGATTTCAAAGCCTAATTCGGTCCAAAATCCGAAACTCAGTTTAGTACCTGGAACCGGACCGGACCAGACCAGACCGAACCCGATACACCCAAAACCGGTCCGGTTTTCGGGTAAGAAAATTCACGATTTTCGGTCTTCGAACTTGGCCAAACCGGGTTTGGCCTGTTGCTCATCCCTATATCGAAGTATGATATTTTTGCATTGAATTTTATTTTTGAGCACGTATTATAAAGGAAATTGGGAGTCTCACAATTAGGAGTTTTTAATGGACTTTAGTTCCATGAAGATAAAAGAGTTGCGAACTAAGTCGTAAACCCTTTGTCAAATTGTCTAACAATTTTATTTAGTCCAAAAATATTCCACCAAAATCACATTGTTCATGATTAATGATAAAATTATGAACACACCATAAATAAGAAATAAGAAGACACTTTTATTAAAACTTTTACACAAGAAATCATCATTCTAATCCTATACAAATCAATCTAACCTAACAAAGAACACTCATACGTTTCTGTGTTTATATAACTAACAAAAAGGAAACATACCTCACAATATTACACAATAAGCCTATGAATATTCAAAGGAAAATAATCAAAGACACAAAAGTTTGAAGCTGATGATAATTACTTTGTAGGGTTTCCGATATGATAAGGTTCTAAATAATGGTGGACGTAACTTGGCGGCAATGTCAAACATCAAGTTTTTACGAGCCATGCTGAGTCACATCGTTTGTAAGGCGTGACTTAAGGTAGCAATTTCATATATAATTAATAAGTTTGTATATATTTTCTACTATAATTCATTTTCTACTATAATTCATTTTTACATACATATAACATGGCGGCAATGTCAAACATCAAGTTTTTACGAGCCATGCTGAGTCACATGGTGGACGTAATTAATAAGTTTGTATATATTTTCTACTGAAGGCGACATTTTGTTAAAGTGTGACGGCAAACAAAGCCTTGGATCCATGATGAACTTTTTAGAACCTTGGTTATGATAGATAACGTGTATGATGCTTATTATCTCAATGTAATAAGCTCTAAATATATAGTAGGCGACATAGTAGAGAAATTGCATCTGTACTCGACGTGGGACAAATCCAACTGTAGATAGTTTGTGGAGCTTCATATCCTTTAATGTATCCGTACATTGCTTAGTTGTACTTGCAATATATCCTGCTCAGCTATATATCATCTTCAAGACAACCCATGAACCTCTACCTTATTCCACTTCAGTCCCTCAACAAATCTGCATTAACCAAAATAACATAGTAGTAGCACCCATTCATGAGTTTCAGTAATTAGGATTGTAGGAAATCTACAACCTTTAACATAACACATTTTTAACAAATTTTTGCAAGGTAATCATACCGAGTTAAATATAAGCATCAATAAATAATTCATTGTTCTGATTGAATAATTCGTGAATCATGTTGTTTTTAGATGCCCTGATGTCTAGGTGTTGAGACTTTCCATTATAAACCTAGTTATATTTCTTAGTCAAAGTTGCACCATTATCACAACGGATACGGTTGCAATCACAATGAAATCTATATTCTCTATCCATTTTGTCTCTTTACTACAACTACTAATGCTACAAATTTGGATGCAATTGTTGAATTTGTAATGCATGTTTTCTTTGGAGGCCTACAAAATGGCATTTCCCTCGATATATAATTTCCAACCACTTGTGGAACATCATCTTTTACATTGGTTATCCAACATTCATCAAACTATCATGTGTAGGAAAGTAGGGTTTGTGGTGGAGATGTGGATACCAACTTGGATCGTGATATCACTTTCCGAACTGATATTTCTACCCTATGCCTGGGTTACAAGAAATTCAGTATAGGATAATCCAAATGGACACTTACGTTTCTAGGCACAGAAAACGTAAGCCAATATGCTAGAGGATTCTGTGAAAGTATGATGAAAAACGGGAGCTTAAGATCGTGACCCTCTTCTGTAGAGGAAGAGCTGTTTATATATTAAACAAGATTAGGGTATCATTAAGGTTGGGCCGTCATTAGTTGCTTTGGAAGCAAGTAATATTAATCCAGATTTAATGAGGATTTAGGGTTACCAAAACTAACGAGTTTCGTTAGTTTTACCATAATCACCCTCAAGAAATTGAATTTTCCACTATGTTCCCATATGTAAAATTCGGTGAGGTTTTGGGGCGCTGCCCCTTGGACCCCAGTCAGGGGCTCTGCCTTATGGACCCCGCTAGGGGCGCTGCCCCTAGACCCCGCCAAAGGGGCTCTGTCCCTGGACCCCCGACTAGTCGTCGAACCGGCTTCTAATTTGATCTTATACATGCGTGCACTCCGCACAACCCTGTACATATATTAGAGTACAAATTATGAAGCCCCTTAGTTCACATGTTAGTTCCAGTTACTTAAAATGACATGGTGACACTAAAATCACCAACATCATGCATAACTTAGGGATATCCAAAAATACGACAAATCATAATCTCTGGCTTCTTTTAAAGATTTGAATACCATTTTGATTGCTTTCCAATGGAGTACTAGGATTCTATCATACCTACTCAACATAAGCAATATATGGACTAGTATTTGTCATGATACACATCAAGCAACCTATAACCATGTGGTATTTCAAATGTAAAATTGATTTGCCCATATTGGGCATAATCTTCACAATCATATCCATGGGAGCGCTAATCGGAAAGCAATCTCTATAATTATATTTATTGAGAATTTTCTCAATGTAATGTAATCGGGATGTCATAATCACTTTCTTCTCACGTCTAATCCTTATATCAAGGATGACATTAGCCCCCCCCCATGTTTTTGTTGGAAAAACTTGATAACAAGAAAACTGTTAGGTCATTGCTCAAAAATTCATTGGGTGAATTCCGACTACCTAAAATACTTGATAACACTAAAATTACCAACTTATGAGATTATCATACCCATGAAAGAGCATGGTTCATACATGGAACTTGAGGAAATTGAACAGAATCTTATAATTTCCTACTAGTGGCTTGTTGCATGATATCTTCGATTAATCGTGTTATATTCCCGTGAGAAGATCCTCCCTCTTCTATTGCTTTAGATGCCATCTCACTTAGTTCTTTAGCTCTCTTTCTTCTCTCTTCTCCTTCTTTCCCTTCTTCCATCACCATCTCTATAGCCTTCCTCAGCTCCTCCCTCTTTACTCCCACTCCCGACTTGTCTTCATCACCCAAATGGACAACATCTCGAGCACCAACACTAACTCCAATCCTCAACATTTGTACAACCAACTTCTCATTCAAGAACTGCTCTTGAAACTGAGGCCATGTCACCATGGGAACACCAGCACACACTCCTTCTAGAGTCGAATTCCACCCACAGTGTGTCAAGAACCCTCCAATCGCAGAGTGGGACAAAACCAACACTTGTGGAGCCCACCCACGGATCAATAGACCTCTCTCTTTTGTTCTCTCTTCAAACCCCTCTTCATCTATCCATTCTTCTATCTTTTGCGTCTTATGACCTGCCCGTACTACCCAAATAAATGGCCTTCTAGTTGCTTCTAGAGCTAAAGCAAGCTCAATTAGTTGTGTAGGTTCAACACGACTAACACTTCCTAAACATGCATAGATCACCGAACCATTTTCTTGAGAATCTAGCCACTTGAGGCATTCGTTTTTGTTAATCGACGACTTGTTACCTCTTTGGGCTTTCTCTGATACATCTTTGTAACATAACGATAATGGCCCTATGCACCAAACTTTACCTCCTTTGAGTTTCTGATATTCATCCGCGTATCCTTGTTCTAACTCCTGGAAACTGTTTATGATTACTCCATATGCTTCGGATTCAGATATCCGAAGCTTTTCATGAAAAATATCTAAATTTTTTGAGCCTGAATTGAATACGATAGGTAGTTGGGATCTTGTTAGTTCGATACGATCAGGCAAACCAGGTAAAACAAATGATTCCAACTCACCCACAGTTTCATATACCTTAGTGAGGTACAAAACATGGTTACACATCTGTGTGAAGCAATTCATTCCATCGAATATAATCCTTGGAATCTGAAACTTTTTTGCTGTTTCAGCTGGCCATAGGAGAAACGAGTCGGATACTATGCAACTTGGTTTAGGATTCAGGTTTTCTATATATTGTTCGACTCTTTCTTGTAGTGTATTATAGGCTTGAAAAAGTGATCCAATCAAGTTGAAACTAGGGAGAGTATCTAAGCTCTCACAGCCTTCTGGTAATCCAAATTCCATAGATGGAAATGGGAATTCAAGAAAGTGGATGGGAAGTCCTGATTTGATTGCTTGATCAAGAATGGATCCGAATCTTAGGGCGTTTACAGGGGTGGTGATGAAGGTGACTCGGACACCATGTTGAGATAGTAGCTTGGCTATGTCAATGGTGGGAATATAATGGCCTGGGGATGCCATGGGTATAACAAGAAAGTGAAGCTGGTTATGTTCTTGTGATTCTTCTAAAGCCATTTTTGAGGGATTGAATCTATGTGGGATAATGGAATTGCATTTGCATTCTAAATAAAGGGTTTCATTCTCTTCTCCTTCCCCTCCCCTCTTTAATTTATTAGACAAATCCATGATGATGTAAGCGTATACATAAGCGATTATTTGCTTACAGAATAAAAAAAAAACATAACTTTGTAGAGAAAGGTGGAGGTTGCTACAACTTTTGTCTAATTGGGAAAAATCCAAAGGCGGATAATTAAATTAAAGAATATAATATATTTATTAGAAAGACAGAAAGCCGGCTAAGATGCTAAATAAAAAGATATTTTTATATACCTTGTGTTTTGATAAGTTTGTTGGACTATAGTCTTTGTTTACAAGGTTGTGTTTTATCCCGTTTGTGTTTTGCTTTTGTCAAATACTATGTTATGCCTGTTGTGCTCCAACTGTATGCTTGTTGTGCTTCAAGAAAATCACACAAAATATGCTTAATACAACCAAACGATTGTGTGGTTTTGTGAAATAAACATTGATTAAACATATCATTTGGCAGTGATTATTTTTTGTTAAGTTTCATATGCCTCAAAAACAACCTCTTTACCTCGACTTATAAATTTATATGTTCCCTTATATCTTGTATTAGTAGTCTCAAGTTCATGTAAGAAGATCCTCCTTCCATCACTCTATTTGCTATCTTCCCAAGTTCCTTCACTTTCTTTCTTCTCTCAATCCCTTCAAATCCATCATCCATTACCTTCAATATACTCTTCTTCACATCCTCACTCTTCACTTTCACTCCAAACTTCTCTTCCTCCCCCCAATGCACAACACCCTCAGCCCCAACACCCACCCCAACCCCCAACACTTCCACAACCAACTTCTCATTCAAAAACTGATCTGCAAACTGAGGCCATGTGATCATGGCTACACCACCACATATTCCTTCAAGTATGGAGTTCCATCCGCAGTGTGTCAAGAACCCTCCAACTGAAGGGTGGGACAAGATCAACACTTGTGGGGCCCAACCTCGAATCAAGAAACCCCTATCTTTTATCCTCTCTTCAAACCCACTTTCTGTTACCCACTTCTCAACTTCATTGTCTCTAATCACCCAAATGAAAGGATGATTTGATGCTTCTAGGCCTAAACCAAGCTCGATAAGTTGCTGAGGTGTAACATGACTCACACTACCAAGACAAGCATAGATGGTTGACCCATGTGGGAATGAATCAAGCCATTCCAAGCATTGTTGCTCAAAAACTGTGGAATTTTTTCCTCTTTGAAGCTTATCTTTTTCACTATCATTGCGTAGTGACAATGGACCTATGCACCAGACCTTACCTTCTTTAACTTTCTTGTACTCATTGACATATTCTTGTTCCAGTTCTTCAAAACTATTGATCACCATTCCATAGGATCCCAAATCGGTTTTCCTCACCAGTTCAAGACGCTCACTTGAGGTTCGTGAGCTTGGGTTGAACTCAACTGGAAGCTGTGCTCTTGTTAACTCAATCCGATCAGGCAATCCAGGCACCACAAACTTCTCTGACTCAGGCAAACCATGGAAGACCTTGGATGCATACAAACTGTGATCGCATAACTGTTTGAAACAACTCATTCCATCAAAAGTAATTCTGGGTATATGATATTTAGCCGCAGTATCAGCAGTCCAAGCTAGGTACTTATCAGATATAATACAGCTTGGTCGAGGTTCTAAAGTCTGGAAATTTTGCTCGAGTTTCCATTGAAGCATGTCAACTGCAGCCGAAAACTTCAGCGCTAGATCGGGAGTAGGGAGAGCGTCTAGACTTTCGCATCCATCTGGTAATCCGACCTCCGTGGATGGAAACGGAAGTTGAAGGAAACCCACCGGGAGTCCGGGTTTGTTGAGGATGGGACTGTATCGAATGGCGTTGAGGGGTGTGGTGACGACTGTGACAGTAATATTTGGTTGCTGTGCGAGTAATTTGGCCATGTCAATCATGGGGATGGTGTGGCCAGGGGCTAGAAATGGAATCAAGAGGAAGTGAAGCTCAGAGGTGGATTCGGATGCCATGGCAAGTTTTGGAGATTAGGGTTGATAATTGGTGATTTGGAATTCGTATTTTTTAGAAATTTTGTTTCAGTTTTTTCATGTTCACGTGGAATGATCAGTCTTGAATCTTCTATCTAAATGGACAGCTTCTGAAAAGTCGTTGCCGTAAGAAACATGGAATTCATGGCAACAAAACACGAAAATAATATATTTATTTAATTATATATTGACTTTTTTAATAAAGATAATTACATTTTTTTTGTCTTTTTTATAAAAGATGAGTTTAACTTTAATGTACTCGTAAAAGTTGATGAATTTTAATTTCATTTTTAAGAAATCACGAGTAGGGGTGAGCAAAAACCGCATCGCAACTAAAATTAACCGCATAAACCGCAACCGATTAACCGCAACCGCAATAAAAACCGATGGTGAAGTTTTCTGTTTTTCAAAAACCGCAAATTTGCGGTGCGGTGCGGTTATTAGTTTTCAAAAAACCGCAAAAAAACCGCACCGCACCGCATATATTATATACAAGTTTTTTTATTAATTATTAATATATTAAATATTAAAAATAAGACAAGTTTCATGGATGAAAGATTGATAAAATACTAGAAGACAAAAGTGTTGGTTTTTTGTGATGTTTAACTTTGAAAAATGGTGAAATTAGACAATTTTAAGATATTTATTGTTAATTACTATTGATTTGACGTTTTTAAGATATTAGTTGTTTGTGATTTAAGTTAATTGTCTAATACCTTATGGTTTTTTTTATTATTACAAGTAATATGTTTGAACTCTTAAAGCCGTTTGAGCTCCAAACTGTGGTTAAAAACCACACAAAATAACCACACCAAATCCATGCGGTTAATAACCGCAACACGGAAAAAACAAAACCACACCAAACAGTTTTGAAAATGGATTAACCGCATTTGCGATTAGTGGTGAGGTTTTGGCTATTAACCGCACCGAACCGTACCGCGCTCACCCCTAGTCACGAGTTTTAAAAACTAGATAATAAACGTAAAACTAATAACAAAAGGTAAATTTCAGAATAACATAGCTTATTATATGTCTGTTATAAGAAATTATTATATTAATTTTATTTATAAAATCTCTCTTATTATTGAAACAGTTGATTGTATTGATAAGGGTTTTACAGTTAATATGTTTATAGTAACTTCATATATTAGTAACAATGAAAGGGTTTGAATAGTTATAATTTTTGTGGATGGTAACTAAACAAATTATTATGAACAAGATTTTTACAAAAATTATTAACTTTTTTGTGTTTGAAAAAAATGATCGGTTTGTCTTAAATTCAGTAAATTGATCATTCCAAACCTGAATGGATATGATGCATCATAAAACTCATGAACACATATCAGCCCATGCTGAAACTCAAGACAGTCCCTTCCAAATCACGTTGATTCAACGAATACTGTGAATTTGGGACTCACGGAATTTGGGGAAAAACTCAACTTTCATAAAACTTATCAATGACCATCCATATTACAACATCATTACTTAAATATGTAGCATAACTTTAAACAAGTTTGAAAAAAGTTATCGATTGAACACAAACCCAAAAACACAACCCAATTCCGGTTTGTAGGTAAATGGTGTGACATTAGTGTCCGTAGATTTTTTGTGTCGGAAGAAGTGATGCAATTGATTGACTCAATTCCGGTTTCGTCAATGAAACGTATGACTTTGGAAGCTATAATAACAACGATGTGGTGGATCATCTGAAACTTTCAGAATGATATACTTTTTATTGATCATACAGTTACTAGGAATTTATTAATCGATAGGTTGATTGATTATTCATAAAATTGGTTTGTGTTTCATAATAGGAAGATAAGTGTTAGCCAGCCTTTGTGATTGCAAAACCCTATTTTTAGCTATTCATTTGTATCTGTCATTAAATCATGTGTGTTTGTGTGTTCGTAAAAATGTTATCTATATGTTTTTTCATGAGTGTCCATATGGTATGTGTGTACTAGAGAGAGATGATAACAATTTTGATAAATTACATTAATAGTCCTTGTAATATAAGAATATATTTAATGTCTCTCTAGTTAGATTTAATGGAAGAGGGATGGGCGTTGTAATTAACACATACAATAGGGACAGACCGTATAACAAAGTAAAAAGTCGGATCAAAGATGCATATTATTCCAAATCACAGGGACCATTCATGTAATTTAGTCTAAAATTAATATTCAAATAAATATTGTCTTTTTTTATTTTTTTTCAAATATTAGAATTTTATTTTTTTATTTTTTTATTTTATATTTCTTATTCTAGCGAGGGACTACCACGTTGTCTTCCGTCAGGCTCACTTGAGAAGGGGCTAGGGTTTATGCGAGCTGCAAAATGGAGACGATAAAGAAAGGGTTTAGGATTTCAAAATTAATTTCTTTCAGCATCTCGGATTATTCTCATCATCACCAATCTCATTTTCGAACTCATCGTCGTGTAGATTCGCCATTGTTAAGTAGATTTTTCTCCTCGTCGTCATACAATAACAGGTCTAACGATGGTTACAGTGGTGGTAGATCACCACCACCAAGACGACGCTCCGGCGATGGATTCAGCACATCAGATCGAACTCCTACTTCGTCACGGCTTTCTGGATTCAACCACGGTAACGATGACCGCGACGCCGGCGATAATAGGGATCGAAGACACGCAGGAGGAAGAAGGGATTTCGACAGCAATAGAAGACCTAAGTACGATGATGATAGTAGGTATAGACCGAGTAACAGAGCATCATCGGAAGTAAACAGAACCGATAGTCGGAAATCTGAAACTAACAGCTCTTATGTCCCATTTGATGATGATGACGAACAAAAGCCCCAATTTTCTCCTAGCCCACGAGTTAAGGATACTAAGATTCAGGACGTTGATGGATTCCTCGATAGATTCAAGCTTGGATTCGATGAAGAAAAAGGTAATCCCATTTCTGACAAATCGGATACCAGCAATAGTGCCGGAGAGGGAGAAGTAGTGGCCGAGGAGCCTCAACCACCACCACCACCACCACCAGAAGACGCTGATGAGCTATTTAGGAAAATGAAAGAAACAGGGCTGATCCCAAATGCAGTAGCGATGCTCCATGGTCTGTGTAGTGATGGATTGGTTCAAGAAGCAATGAAGCTGTTTGGTGTAATGCGTGAAAGAGGATCCATCCCTGAGGTGGTGATATACACAGCAGTAGTTGAAGGGTTTTGCAAATCTCAGAAGCCAGATGAAGCTATCAGGATCTTCAGGAAAATGCAGAACAATGGTATTGTACCCAATGCATTTAGTTATGGTGTTCTTGTTCAGGGTTTGGTTAAAGGGAAGAGGTTAGATGAAGCTCTTGAATATTGTTTGGAGATGGTGGAAGCTGGTCATTCACCAAATCTGGCTACTTTTACAGGTTTGGTGAATGGGTTTTGTAGGGAAAGAGGTTTGGAAGCTGCTGAAATGATGATTAAGAGTTTGAAAGAGAAAGGGTTTGGATTTGATGAGAAAGGCATTAGAGATTTCATGGAGAAGAAAGGTCCATTTTCGCCTTTGGTTTGGGAGGCAATCTTTGGGAAGAAACGTTCACAAATGTTTTGATCATTTTCTATGTTTGAAAACTTCAGTTTTTCTAGAAAGAGGTTGGTGGTTTCTTGTTATTTATGGTGGATAAATAGTTGAAATTGAAATTGAACTTTGATTACAATACATGATGTTAGCCTGAGATCTGGTGTTTTAAACTCAAGATTGAATGATGTTAGCCTGAGATCTGGTGTTTTAAACTCAAGATTGAATGATGCTAGCCTGAGATCTGGTGTTTTAAACTCAAGATTGAATGATGTTAGCCTGAGATCTGGTGTTTTAAACTCAAGATTGAATGACCAAGTATACTTACAATTCATGTTTTAAACTTAAAAACTCATTTAAAGTGCAAGTTTTAAACTTGCACTTTAAATGAGTTTTTAAGTTTTGTAAGTATACTTATATTCCAAGTATACCAAGTATTCCAACATTTCATATTGAATTTATTTTGTTGATACGATTTAGCAAGTATTCCAATAGTATATGAAGATGCCTTTGAGGGAAGATTTTGTGGTTGATAGGTGTTGATTAAGCATTGATCTGAGTGAGGCAGCATGGGTTATGTTTAGGACCGAACCAGAAGCTTCTAATTGTGGTATCAAATAGTTTGAATCTAACACAGCAAGTCTCAACCTCTTACCAAACCAAGGAAGAGGCATACCAAACAACCCTATGTAAATAAAAGTGTGTTAGCATACAAATAGAAACATTGCTTCACTACTGATGGAGACATTTGTCTTGTTTGACTAAAACTTATGTTTTGGTTTTTATGTTCTACCATTTTTAAAAATATGAAATCTTAATACAAAACAACTTGTGGGCAAACGTGTTACTCCATCCGTCCCAAAATTATTGTCTACACTCTAGACAAAAAACACAAACAGATTAAAAAAACATTAATTACCATTAACTTTATTAAATAAAATGACAGTTTTACATTTTTGTTGCATTTAATTTCCAGGTATGTTAACTAATAATGAAATGTATTTTAGTAAAAGGATATTTATTTTTAGAAATAGGTTATTACTTTGGGACAAACCAAAAATGAAACATGAACTATTAGTATGAGACGGAGGGAGTATTTGATTTTAAAAAAAAATGCCAATTAACAATTTTTTTTCTTGAAAATCATTTACAAATTATGTTGGTATTCTGAGGGCAGAGTCGGGCATAGCATGTGTGTGTCCCGAGGTAGCACATGCAACCCTTTGATTTCGTCCTAGAAGTGTAAAATTCTATAAATCTTTCATGAATCCCTTTTATTTCTTCTTATCAGAATTATTTTACAAATACATGCCATAGTAAGTTAAGAAAGGGAGACAGACACAAAAACCTAAGGGGCAGAGACGTCCATAGCAGTTGTCCCGAGGTAGCATGTGCAACCCGTCGATTTCGTCCTAGAAGTGTAAAATTCTATAAATCTTTCACAAATCTATTGGAAATCCATCAAAAAATCTGATAAGCATAATGTAACATCCAGAATCTAGAAAGTTAATTATGGAAATAAACCTCACTTCTAAAGGTCAACTCGTCGAGTTTAAGGCATAAACTCGACGTGTTGGAAGTGTTGGTCACACATGTTTTTGAAGACCAACTCGACGAGTTGGAGAGGCTCAACTCGACGAGTTGGACGTGGTTTGGAAAGCCCTAATTTCGGAATTTTGCACCCTATTTAAACAACTTAAACCCCATAAATTGGCCTCATTTCCAGCCTCTATTGTCCTAAACCCTAACCTCGAAACCCTAAGGCATCTTTGAGTGATTGTGAACCATTTTGAGTGTTTTGTGTGTGTTTGAAGCCATTGGAAGTAAAGGAAAGCTTGGTGATACAAGAAGGAGCTGCTAGATCCTGAATTCTTGCTTCATTTTCGTCATCTTTCTGGTAAAAAGTTTCAACATTGCTTTGTGATTTCTTAGATCTTCTTCTTGGGGTTCTTTTGCTTGTTTTGGTCCAAATGATGTGGTTTTGGGAGTTGGAGATCCCATTTGGACAAACCCTTTCGGATCTAGGGTCCTAGGGAGCTTTTATGGCATAAATGTGCCAACTTTATGGCCCTAAGAGCTCCATGCATCCATTAAGCCCTTGTTATGGCCTTTTAAGCTCCTATTAGCCTTGCGTGTGAGTAAAGTTGAAGACTTTGCGGGACCTTTTAGCCTTTAAGGTCCAGATCTGTGTTCATGAGATCTATCTTGAAGACTTGGTGGTTTTTGGATTAAGACATACGCTTCTTAAGGCTAGGGTTTGAGTTTAAGCCCATTATGATGGTTCTTAATGGGTAAAGTCGGAAACTTTACCCTTCTAGACACCTTTTCAGTCTAGATCTGGAAGATAGGGCTTTGGTTTGAAGAATAGTGGCTTAATGCATTAAGTGAGTTGGCTGACTGAAGAACTCGACGAGTTCATAGGGGAACTCGTCGAGTTGGTTTGGGATTTTCCCGATTTTGTCGAAAAAGGAAGAACTCGACGAGTTAAAGGGGAAACTCGATGAGTTGGAACGAGATATCACAATTCTATGATTGATGGAAACTCGACGATTTAAAGGATAACTCGACGAGTTGAGTCAACTCGGAGCGTTGACTTTGACTTTAACTATGATGTTGACTTCCACCAACTTGTCCGGGGGGGGGGGGGGGTTGAGGTAATCTGAATTGCATTCAAGGAAAAGTTGGGCCTAGGATAAGACCCACATGGGATTGGGCCCAATTTGGAAATTAGGCCATTAGTGAGCCTTTGTGGATCTTTTGGTGTTGGGCCTCTGTTTTGGTTCATGTTGTGGGCCAGGGGTAAAATGGTCACATTTTACCCCAAGTTTGGATTATGGATCATGGTTTGGATTTTAGTTGTTGATTGGATGTTGTTTTGGTAATGGTTAGTTTGGGATACCGTCAGGGCAACAACTAGGGATTTCTTTCAGGGAGCTTCTGCATTCGAGGTGAGTCTCCTCACTGTCCTATGGGTCGAAGGCACCAATGCTGGCCCATTTGGTTTGTCTATTGTAGGAAGACCAAGGGGTGACCCTTGGGAATCTGTATGCAAGACCAGAGTCTGAACTCTGACAATTAATTGGTTAGTAATGGTAGAATTGTATGCTAGTTGTCTTTGTGATGCTTGCATGGAAGTCTCGGAGGTGGCTCCTGGCACTTGTCTGTTAGACCTAGGGTTGTGGGCCCCGGCCTGGCAAGAAAGACCACGAGGTGGCTCGTGACATAATGGCAAGACTATGCATGACACATATAACCTTTATTGATTATGATATATGAATGATATGTATGGCTCGTTGTTATATATGGCATGTATGGATCGTTTGATTTGTATAGTATGTGGTATTTGGGGAACTCACTAAGCTTTGTGCTTACAGTTTTCAGTTTTTGTTTCAGATCCTCCAATTTTCAAATGAAAGAGTTCGGGACGATCGCAGCACATACACCCGTGGTTTCCGCAATATGTGATCTTTGGGACTAGACTCTGATATTTGTTTTAATTAAAATGTTTCTTTTAATGTTTTAAACAAGATACAATAGTGCTGTGGTTATAATAAAAATGAAAATTTGACCTTGGATTTTTGGGTCGTTACATGTAAATTTGTCGGTAAAACCTTTTAGTGACGAAAACTACCTTAGGGAAGTAACTCCTAAAAAGTTTATGCAACCCCTGATTTTTCTTTCTGTGTGCCACTAAGTGTTGTAATGGTTATTATGTTCTTTTCTATATAACGAAAATCAAAGTTTTAAAAAGGATCTAAGAATGTCTAGGGTTATGCCAAGTGGGTTTCTTAACGCCTTTTTCTTCTTCTTATGAGAAGTATTTCACAAATATTTTTCTTCTTAATGCCTTTTAAAAAGGATCTAAGAATGTCTAGGGTTATGCCAAGAGGGTTTCTTAATGCCTTTTTTCTTCTTATCAGAATTATTTCACAAATACCTGCCATAGTAAGTTAAAAAAAGGGAGACAAACACACTTGGAGAGCGCATTACAACGAAGAGTTGTATGTTGCGTACGGGAAGAATGAGTTAATCGCTCCTTAAAAGAAATCTATCAATTCAAGTCTCAGATGATGCAGTTGTGTCAAGGAAAACAATAAAAGAAGCGTCTAACTCCTTCATGCATGTTACACTTGGATTGGGGATATAGCTCAATGCGACTTAAGGAATAATATAAAAAGATAGAGGCAAAAATGTTATTATTTAATAAAGATCAATAAAGTAAATAAATAAAAATGAAGTAGAAGAACTTATATTCTAAATAAACAAATTCAAACTTGAAAATGATCTTTATGAGTCTCAAAGGATGAGAGGCAAGGAGATTGATCGAGAAAGATCACTTGTTAAATTAAATGTTTATTCCATAATGTAACACACTGTCTTTTTTTCATAAACCGAAATAAAGGATTATATATATATATATATATATATATATATATATATATATATATATATATATATATATATATATATATATATATATATATATATTATATAGGGAAAAGATCAAATGAGAACACCTAAAATGTTAAGAACGCGAGAACAGTTGTGGACCAATTATTTTATAAGGGCATTAGAGGCATTTTACAATTTAATTAAATATGGATAAATGGAAAGTAATTAATCAATTCCGAAAATCATGGGAATTTTTTTCCCAATTATTAAGAATACTCAAAATCTTCCTTTTAATTAATAAATTAATAAAAATATCATTTAACATGAATACGTTTATTTGTTTTATATTTTTATTTTTACTAACAACATTTGATAATGAATAATTTATCGGTTTACCTCATTTATTTAAAAAAAAAATATCTTCATAAATAATGATTTATACATTACATTTAAAAATGAATAAAATTGTAAATTATAAATGAATTAACTCAGTTGTATTTATGAATACACTTGTAAAATCATAAATGAATAAAACCCGAAAAAAAGATTATAAAATCAACTAAAATGGTACTCATATATAAATAAATAAAACACATTTCTATTCATATAAGAATATAATTATAATAGTAAATGAATAAGTTACAATATATATATTTTTTTGACACGGAAACTAGTGCTACAATTACAATCATAAATGAATAAAACACATTTTTTCTCCTTCCAAAAGAGGTATTGGTGTCGGTGTTTCATTTGGTAAATCTCCCACCTCCCACTATATGCATGTTTATTCATTGTATCTGCAAAAATGTTAATGAAACAATTATGTATAATTATATAGTCATTCACACATAAATACACTGAGATTCACAAATGAATACCCTGTTCTTCATAAATAAATATAGTCATTCAAACATAAATTCACACATAAATATACTGGTTGTGGTTGCTTGCCTTGCTCCTCTTGGACCAGCCTCATGGAGTATTCATTGATGATTAACTGCAAAATGAGACATCTAACATTATATTCATATAAGATTACAACTACAAGCATTCAAGTTCCATTTTTCTGAATTCGGGCATTTCATCGAGCACCTTATGTGCATAACTTATCTTCTTCCCCTATTAGCCAATTTAAATGAGTAAAGTACCATACCTGAGAAACATTTTCAAGCAAAAGAATTGCGAAGCTTTGGTGCATACAATAAAATAGACAACATTTAAAGATAGGGGTGTGTTTTAATTAAAATAAATACAAGTTTGGTTGCCTGTTCAAATTCCAGATCGGGTGTTTAATTTTCCAGATCGTGAAGAGGAACATCGAGACCCACTTCGATGTCTCGTGTTCGACTGATAATTAACGAAGGAACGAGAATGGAATTTTTCAAGGTGGTGATGGTCGACTACTCACAGTGACAGCCAGCGGTGGTGATGACGGTTCAGCGAAGTGGCGCAGGGGGAGGTCGACGAGACCGAATGAAGAACGAAAGTCATCGCTGGGGTCTGCCACTGTTCGCCGCCAACATAACTCCATCACCGCTGCTTCCCCCTCCTCCTTCTCGATCTCACTCTGAATCCTCGTGTACTCTCTCATCTGTTTCACATTTTTAGATGCTCTGGTGGTGTATAGATGAGGGAGGCGACGAAGCGTGCCCTAGGTATAGAGAGAGAGACGGCAAATTAAAAGGAAAGATATCAGTGTGTGAGAAGTTATAGAAATTAAATAAACATTCAATTACTATTATACCCTTTTCACCATTTAAAGTTACACTTTAATACCAATAATTTCCAGAATTTACATAAATGGTCTGTCTGAAAATAGCCTTAGATTTGAATATTTAGATGGTCTAGATCTGTTCTCGCGTTCTCAACCTTTTAAGTGTTCTCATTTGATCCTACTCATATATATATATATATATATATATATACATATATATATATATATATATATATATATATATACACATCTGCCTTGGTCTTCCTTGGTTCATTTCAGGAAGTTCAGTTGTATGAGTTGCTATGAATGAAACTTATATGAGTTGCTCTATCATGTCCTTTTGAATTAAAGGCTACAAATTGACCGGTCGAGCAACCGACAATGTTCCAACCACTTATTAAAAGGAGGTAATCATTTTGGGTCTTGAAGTTGTTTTAGAGAAGTTGTTTGGTTTAACATTGTTTGGAGGGTTAAAAAACTGCTAAAGTGGAATATGTCTTTTTGAGATAATGTACAAAGTCCGATGCTATTGTTTGCTCATATATAGAGTTAATATTCAGAAGATAGTTTTGACTAGTACACATTCTCATTTTATGTGTTTGTATTTGCTTGCTCCATGTTAGCCCTTTAATATATAAAATCTTTGGATGTTTTCTGAATTTTGTGGGCCCTCATTTTTGCTTGGACCGGCCCTGGTCATAACAAATCCAAACATGTTTCAAAATTCTACATACAACAAACCATTTATAATCATATAACATAAAAAGTAAAAAACATCCATCTTACCCTAGATGGATATTTTGTAGTTTTAATCATAAATAAAACACAAATTCACCAAAAGGGTATTATTCATTCATTGCTTAATTTACTTCTGCATAGAAAGACTGAAACAGAAACCATCTTGAAAAGTAACTCCACCATGAGGCCCCACCACCTCCTTTTCTAAGAAGCATGTTCCTTGAAATGCGACCATTGAGGTCAATGTTTGTCTATATTCCCTCCGCTGTACACACATATAATATAACATAATATAAGTTATCTGTAATAATGAAAATGACTGAAACATTATAATAAGTATTAAGAAACCACTTAATAATAATAAAAACAATACCTGAGTTGGGGTTACTTTTTCAAAACCAAATTTCTGAATCCACATGGACTTAACATCCTCAGCAGCTGGAACCACCATCTTCTTAACCTTAAGATATGCAAGTAGCTTCTCAAAGAGTTCAAAGTACCCCTGAATTCAATCAATTTATTCATAAGTTTTTTTTTACATATAAATAAATTAAAACATACAATTGATGTTGAGAATGTGTAAAAAAGCGTATTTACCTTTCCTTGGTTGGTTTCATTAGTAGCAACTATTGGAAGCTCTACAACATCTGCCCCAAATACACGAAACATTCCAGCCGTAATAACCTTTGACCTGCACAATTTATAATTATAAGGGAGGAGGGAGTCGTTCCCTCCCAACCCACCGAACCCAATGAACCCAATGACACATTAGCTTTTCTCTTTGATTTTTCTTCATCTTTCCCAACCCACAACACACGGAAATTCTATCTTTCTTAACCCACTCAATTAAAAAAAACACTAAACAACTAAGGTACAAATCTTAAAACACACGGTACAAGAGAAAATGAGAGAGAGAAAGTAGAGAGAGAGGATGAAGTGAGTTCGTGAAACCAATTAAACAACCGGCTAAAGAGGGAGTGGTACCGGCGATAACTCTATTGCTAATTAAGATTTTACCTTGATTATTTTGTATATATTTTTTTAATTGAGTGGGTTGAGAAAGATAAGATTTCCGTGTGTTGTGGGTTGGGAAAGATGAAGAAAAATCAAAGAGAAAATCTGATGTGGCAGTGGGTTCATTGGGTTCGGTGGGTTGGGAGGGAACGACTCCCTCCTCCCTAATAATGATAACTTTGTATAGCATATAAAAATAAAATAGAAAATGACAAGTGTGAGCTTACTCTATTGTCAGCATTGCACAATGAACTCTTGTGAAGTCGGAATCTCCCATTGTCTGCCAATTGGCTGGAGAAAAAGAAAAAGAAAAAAAAATTTAGATGCTAAAAATAAAAATGAAAGTTTAACTAATTTGTTTTATATTTGCTTACCCATATGCCATTGATGGAATAAATCCACTTCCAGTAATGGAATCAACAATAGGATTGAAGCATTTCTGTTGCAATCAATGAAAACAGCCAATATGATATTCCCTCTCACACTGCAAGGTATGGAAAATGGATTAGGGGGATAAATCTAACAACCAGAAATGAAAACAGCATAACTTAATTTTTTAAAATGACCATTTTAACCTTGGACAAAACCTGAAACAAAGGATATATCACACTACCACGTACAGGGACCAAATTTGTGATTTTCTTCATTCTTAGTTAAGCTTTATAACATTTTATATCATACACATGCTCTTTTAATTTTATAATATTTTTAGTTTGTATCGTAAATTGAATTATTTTTTAATATACTAACTATAAATCATTTATACATCAATATAAGTTCCTATTTAATGTATTACATAATCTGTTTAAAAATGTTATATCTTATTTTGTTAAAAACTTCATATAGTTAACAACGTCATATCTGTACGAATCGCAAAGTGTTTTAGCAAACAAGAGAAAATTTACAAATTTGATCCCTATGGTATACTGTTTTTTTTCATTTTTGGTCCAAAGGCATTTCAAAACAATTTAACAGCTAGGTTGTTAACTTATACAATCCAGGCACCAAAATCATTATGAAATAGTAATATAAGAAGTAAAATTGCGACCTGACACCTTTAGGGACCAAAACTGAAAAACCGGCATAAACTCAGGGACCAAAAATGTAATTTACTCCAATTACAAATTATAATTACCTGATCACAAACAATAACAATCTGATCATTGAAGCCGACCGTGTTGAAATCATAGGCTCTGTATACACCAAAGTTATTCAAACATGATTACATGATTTGAAATTGATATAGATGTAGCAAAGTTTTGTAGTGCATAAAAAATTGTAGCAAATTGTATAAAATTAGGATTACCTGCAAATAGAACATGCAACCAGGTCACATTTATCAGGATTATAAACAATCTGAATGCAACGTTTTGCAATTTGCTCAATTGGATCAAATTCTGAATGTTGAACCACACATTTCATAGAGTTTCTGCAATATTTGCAGAACCATTTTTCTTCATGGGCACTTGAGTCAGATATACATTCTGTGTCATCAAAAGGAATGAAATTCAGATTCATTATAATTATAAATTTTATAATAAACAAAAATATTAATCTTTTTACCTTCATGGAATGACCTTGGGCATCCATCAGAGAGCACTAAGTCTCCACCTTTCTTACAAACTCCACAAAGTTCATCATTCTTCTTTAAATTGTGTCCAACAGTTAGCTTTAAAGAAGATGCATACTCATGGAGTGACACACCATTTGAAAGAAAGATGTTTCCATATCTGGATATAATTAAAAAATAAAATCAATATAAAAATATTATACAGAACTATGAAAAAAAACTCACGGTTTTTTGCGAGAAGCCTGGCCAGCATGAGCTTCAAATTGTGAGGGGCTAACCTGATAATAGATTAAAAATAAAAGGTTATTTTATTAAATATATTAAAAGTTGAAGGGGTCAAGAAGAAACAAGTACCTCAGGTTGGGTTTAGTTACGGAAAAACAGTTTTCATTTTCCGTTTTTCGTTTTCCCTTTTCAGTTTTTGTTTTCCATTTTCAGTTTTCATTGGAAAATTTAGAAATCGTGTTTAGATGTGTATTTTTCTATCCGTTTTCATTTTTAGAAAACGGTAGCGGTGGTAGGGTGACGGTGGGGGATGCGGTGGCTGGCAGTGGTGGTGTAAATAATGGAGACGGTGGTGGTGGTGACAGCGGCAGCAGGGTGGCGGCGATGGTGGTGATGACAAGCGGTTGTGGTGGCGACGACAATTTTGTCAGTGGTGGTGATGGAGGCAACGGTGATGGTGGTGACGGTGATGGGGTAGTGGTGGTGGTGATGGTGATGGTAGGTCGGTGATTGTGTAGTTATGTTGGGTGGGTGTGGGGGTGGGGATGGGTGTGGGGGTGGATGTGTGTTTGTGGATGTGGGGGTGGGTGTGGGTGTGAGTGTGTGTTTGTGGGTGTGTATGTGTGTTGTGGATTTGTGTTTGTGGGTGTGGGTGTGGGTGTATGTTTGTGGGGGTGGGTAGGTCTGTGTTTGTGTGTATGTTTGTGGGGATGGGTGTGGGTGTGTGTGTTTGGGGGTGGGTATGTGTTTGTGGGGTGGATGTGTGTGTGTGTGTGTGTTTGTAGGAGTGTGTGTTTGTCTGTGGGGGTTGGGTGGGTTTGGGAGTGCGTAGGTGTGGTAGGTAGGGGTGTGGTGGGTTAGGGGTGTTATGGTGGGGGTAGGTAGAGGTGGGAGTGGGGGTGTGTTTATATTTTAGAAAAATTTTGGAATTAGAAAAATATGGAAAACAATGATTATTGGTTTTCCAAAAATTTCAAATTTCTTTGTAATTTTAGAAAACGGAAAATTTTTATTTTCTGTGAAAAATTTAGAAAAAATAGACGCACTAAACATGTTTTCAAAATTCTCATTTTTCTTGGAAATTTTTTGTCGGATAACGGCCAATTTTTCCGCATCTAAACACAACCTCAGTGTTGCAGCAAAAACAGAATATTCCATGACCCCACTTGTAACCTTTTAAGAGTTCCTGTAAATAAGTGTAAATAAGAGGATGTTAGATGATTGGAATATAATAAAGTGATTTAAGATTTTCATTATTTGTTAGTTATAAAAATTTCAATACCCTTCTATGAGACTTGTAAACTACTTTAGTTCCATCAGGTAACCCGCCTCCTTGAAATACCAACCGGTTCATTTGCTGATCCCTTGAGAAATGAAAGCAATGAAAGACCAAAAAAATAAAAAGGTTAATTTTTATATATGTTTTTGGTATTATGTAAGAGGTAAATTACTAAATTATTAGAACTAAGGATCAACTTGAATGTTAGCTTTGTGTTTTTCTTGATCTGTGAGGATGAAGATGAACATTGAGCTTCACTTGTTGTTGGTGTAATTCTAGAAGAAGACCTTAATGACCTGAATCAATCAACCAAAAGAGATTAAAAATTTAAAAGTATTTTTGACATATATAACTTTTACTATAATGATGTAGAAATTTAAGAAAGAACATATATCTGATAGTAATTCATCTTCATTAAACAATGGTGATGTGTCACTGTAATCATGACCGTCGTCACCCAAAACCATTGGAAATGCCGACAATGTATATCTAGAAGCATCACCGGATCTGAAATAATACTAATATCTGAAAACTGTCAACTATGGGTCCTGTTCCTTCATCCAAGCCATCATAACTTTCCGGAATTCTCTATGTTCTTCCTGTTCCCGAGCCATCATTGTGTGAAACTCATTGATATCAAATTCATGTTGATCTAAATGGAATGTTGGAGATCGAGTTTCAATTTGAAGAATGGTAAAACAAAGGAAGATTGTAGCAGGTCGGACCAATTATGAAGAATCAAGCTTAGGGTTTAAAGAAATTGAAGAACAACCAAGAATTAAAGTAGAAGATGATGCAATAGAAGTAATAGATTGAACGATTACACAATCAATCGATTGTTCCAACCAAGGATTTACCATCTCTCACAGCTTACAAAGCTTAGAGCTGATACAAACGTATCATCATACCAAAATATCTTAATGGTCCCCACTGTGTCTTTTCTCTCTATTGTAATCCTAACATGTGACAACCCAGAACTTCTATCTTGTACATCTAGTCGATTCAATCAATGTTAAACTCGTTTTTGTTAACTTCTGGAACTGTTTAAGGATTCATTTAAGTGTTCTAAGCTTGAGTACAATCGAGGTTGAGGTTAGGAATGAGTCAACAAGTCGTATAGTGACAAAACCATGCGATACATACCTTTAGGAGGAGTGTATGGCCGTACACATTAGTGTGCGGCCGCACACCCACCTCATGGCAGCACACCCCCTCTTATATAAAGGGTAGACCCCTTTCCTTTCATTCCTTTCACTCCTTGGCCACACACCACACCATTCTCTCAAGCTTCTTCAACCGCGAACCCTCCAAAGCTTCAAGAACGTGAGTAATTCATCCTCTAACTTGTTAACCATGAAAGACCACTCTATCTAAGCCTTAAGCCCGCAATATTCGTCATGTTCTTCATGTTTAGAAGAGAGTGCGGCCGCACACCCCCATTAGGTGGCCGTACACTCCTAAAAGACCCTCCAAAGTGAGAGTTTGTCTTCTATCTTCGAGTTGGACATGACCCTAGCCTTGTTGCACCTTAAAGTTGACATTTTGGGAATAAACATGAAGTGTGTACGGCCACACACCCTTTGTACTGCCACACACACATCTCATGACCATACACCCACTTTGATGAACATTTCGGACTTCAAACTTGCACTACAACGAAGCATGGACCTAGAACACTTCATGGATGCTAGCATGAACCTTGAAAACACCTCAAGGGAACACTCCATCATGAGTGTGCGGCCGCACACCTCATGGGTCGCACACCCATGGCCGTACACCCCCTCACTCAAGCCTGTAAGGTTCTAACACTTAGTACAAGTGGTTCCAAGTCCCTAGAGTGGTTCTCTATCATGTCTAGTAGTGAAATACCTTCATTTAACTCCTATATGTGTCATTACATGTTAATTAGGATCAAATTGAGTTCGAGGTTTCACTTGACACTCAACATCTCGTACCGATCTTTCATACGAACCACTTGCTCGAGGTGAGTTCATACCCCTACATTTTCCGAGTTTTTATGTTTTCAGGGGGGAATACAAGCCATACATACATGATTTTATGAAACTTATACAAAAGGATTTCAATAAACTTAAACCAGACGCTATCGGTACGAATATACCATTTCTATACTTTTATACAGTATTTAGATGTTTTATCCCTCTTACAACATGCTGAGCATAAAGGACTTTTTCAACTTATAAACATAACCATGTAGTTTTCAGATTAATACATAAAACAAGGTTATACATACATACACACAAACTATAGTAAGTATAGTTTGGGAATTCATACAAGGTTATACATACATACACAAAAACTATAGTAAATATAGTTTGGGAATTCATACAAGGTTATACATACATACACACAAATTATAGTTTGATATAGTTTGGGAATTCATACAAGGTTATACATACATACACACAAACTATAGTTCAATATAGTTTGGGAATTCATACAAGGTTATACATACATACGCACAAACTATAGTAGGTATAGTTTGGGGAACCATTAGACAGTTTACAAACTCATAATTTATACACCTTTCAGTTAATTACAAAAAGGGTTTTCAGCATTGTTACTTGTAAATTTGTTAGTCTAGTTGGAGACACGTCCTTGGTAACACTCACAAACTTAACTGAGTGTAGGACTAGCACTTACGATCAGAATCTCCCCTAAGGAGAGCGTGACTGTTGTGTATAGATCTATACGGGACTGACTATCTCGCACCTTGCTGCTAGCTACACTAGGACCGGCAGGTCTACGGGTGACAAAGTCATAAAGGATACTGGCCCCGATACGTGCCATATCAAGTTAATGTATGGTCATAAAAACTTACAATGTAGATGGCAGCGATTTACTTACGTAATAATAACACATGAACAATACTTGTTTAGCACAAGTATGAGCAAATACATGGTTTTTCAAGGAAAACTAAAACTACTATACGTACTGACAATAACCAGGGTTTTCAAACAAAACATTTCATACATAGGTTTTTCATACAAAGTTCTTACAACATTTTACTAAGAGTATCTCACCTTTACTAAAGGAAATATTGGATTTTCTTGGAGTCATGCAAACATTTTTCAGAACTATCAACCGGTTTTCAATACACAAACATCGCTTATGAACTCACCAGCTTTATGCTGATACTCTTTCAAAACTGCTTGTATTCTCAGGAAATCAGTAGACAGGTACCTTTCTGGAGTGTTGGGAGAAGTCGAAGCGAATAAAGTCATGACTTTATATTTATCTATGCTTTCGATGTATTCATACAAGACTTAAACAAATGTAAACTTCTTTTTCATACATGTATTCAATGTTTGGTTGTGTTTACTATGATTGCTATGATACAATTGTTGTGATACTACGCATGACGTCCTCCACCCCAGAACATTTCCGCCGTTCCGGTTTTGGGGTGTGACATAACAACCTACGTTAATTTCCTATTTTACCATTTATTGGGACTTCTAGACAAAACCTATAAGGCCCCGTTTGATAGATGCTGACTGAAAAAGTGCTGAATAAGAAATGTCTGTATGGGTAAGAACTTCTGACTGAGTAAGAAATCATGTTGTTTGATTGTACATCTGACTGAATGTGTTGACTAATGAAAAATGACCATTTTACACTGCTTCTGTATATAGTGATGGATGAACTTGCTGAATAATTATAAAAACATACAAATTGTCATACAAAATGTGAATTACACACAAGTCATTTAAAAATCCAAATAAAAATTGTTATACAAAATGTAAATTAAACATAAATAATTTAATATCCAAATAAAAACATAATGAAATTTAAAATAACATCATAATTTAATGTAAAGTAGGTGAAAGTAGTTGATTTTCAATCTGATCACGCAAAACACGCATATATTGAACGACTTCTGGACCCCATTCTACGCCTTGTATGTTTTCTCTATCAATTCCCCCACCTTAGACGTCTGGAGTAACCATAGTGTTCTCCTCAAAATTTGTAAACAAGTCATCTTCTATATTGTATTTCCTTATAAAATTATGGACCGCGACACAAGCAATGACTATGTCTCTTTGCACTGTAAAAGGATAAGGAGCCATTTGTTTTAAGATAGGGAATCTCGCCTTCAATACACCATAAGCACGGTCAATAACATTTCTAAGTTGTGCATAAGCATAATTGAACCTTTCTTCTCTAGTTAAAGGTCTGCCTCTTCGAAAATCGGCTAACCAATACCTAGTATTGTGGTATGGAACCATAAACCCACGAGTGTTTGTATATGCGGCATCACAAAGGTAATATTTATCCGCAAATGAGTGTGCCACATATTATATAAAGAAGATAGATAATAAAAGTTATGTAAAGATTACAAACCTGGTGGAGGAAATGGAAATCCAGAAGTCGGATCGAATGCAACTTCTTTCAAAACTCTTGAATCATGTGCTATACCCTCCCATCCAGCCCAAACAAAGGTGAATATCATATCAAAATCACAAATTCCTATTACATTTTGAAAACATTCTCCTTTTCCTCTTCCCCTGTAACAAGTTTGTTGATCAACGGGTACAACCGCATATACAAGAGTTCCATCTAATTAACCGTCTATGTCGTTCTGAGTTATGTCTTGTTGGATTAGGAGTTGTTGGTACTATAATTTCGTTTGCAAACACATCATTGCAGTTAGGACCTCGTGAAAACATTGATGAATTGTTTGTGTGGAGTGATGAAATCTTCCCTTAACCGCGTGAAAATGTTCATTATGTCCTATAACATGTAAGAAAATAGTCATCTTCTCTTCAATGCTTATTGTCCTACTAGGTTGCAACCAATTTTTTTGGGTAAAATGGTTGCATAATAATGCAAATGCCTCTTGTGTAAGACGCATCATCTCGTAACATTGTGTAGGGTCTCCGTACATCAAATCTTGCGTATACGCATACCCGCTTGAATCGTTATCTCTAATTCTATGAATTCTGATTAGCCTGCGCCGGTTTGACCTCAACCAATAAATCATAAGTAAAAGAAAAGCTACAACTTCACCATCAGAAACCATATTTGACCTTTTACAAGCAATTATGTAACATGTTAAA